AAGCCCTGATAGCTGCATTTTCCTGGAAATACCAATTCACATGTCAACTGTTGGAAGTTAGACCAAGTAATAGAGTCCAAAGCTCATGCTTTTATAATGAGAAGGGTGTGGATTTGATTTTCTTGATATTTACATCTATTTATTTGTGTGTTTTGAAACCTGGTCTCCTTTGAAGAACAAGGTATATGTGATATGTGGAGGCCATGAACCAGACTTTGTGGTTAATAGACAGAGGAAAGGAGCCATAGAGCCAATCTCCTTAGAATGCATGCAGCTTTCTTCAAACAGTAGACCCAGCTTTTTGAGTAAATGCATGGTTTGGTGCTGTGTGGCTCATCCAGTCATCTTCTCATCTTCTGTATTATCATGGTAGAGATGGATAAGTCTGGAACCTTGAGGACTTTCTTCATTCTCTTGCTTTATTGTTATTATTTTAATGTTTGATGGAATTTACCAGTGAAACCATCTGGCCCCAAACTTCTCTTTTTTGGGAGGTTTTGAAGACTAGTTCAATTCCTTTACACGTTAGAAGTTGTTCTGGCTAGTTTTATGTCAAGGTATCAACATAGAGTCATCAGAAAGAAAGAAGCCTCAATTGAGAAAAAGTCTCCATAAGATGGAGCAGTGTGCAAGCCTGTAGGGCATTTTTTAAACTAGTGATTGATGGGGGAAGGCCCAGTCCATTGTGAATGGTGCCATTCCTGGGCTGGGGGTCCAGGGTTCTATAAGAAAGCAGGCTGAGCAAGCCAGTAAGCAGCACCCCTCCACGGCGTCTGCATCAGTTCCTGTCTCCAGGTGCCTATCCTGACTTCCTTCAATGATGAACAGTGATGTGGAAGTATATAAACCAAAGCCAAATAAACCCTTTCCTGCAAAGTTGCTTTGGTCACAATGTTTCATTACCGCAATAGTAACCCTGACTAGGACAGAAATTGGTATTAGGAGTGGGCATTGATGTGTCAGACCTGCCCATGTTGTTTTTAGAGGACTGCGGAGGGACTTGGAACTTTGGGTGAGAAAAGCCACTGAGTGTCCAATGCTTGGTTAGCTTTTCTGTGGGAGCTTGGAAGATAAGAGTTTTGAGAGATGATGGAGGCGTAGTTTGAGACATTTCACATGGAAGTTTGAGAGTCTCTCAATGACTCTATTGAGGTCATTTGCTATTTTGGGTTAAAAATCTGTGGTTTTGGTTAGCTGAGGCAGAAGAATCAGCAGTGATTAACAAGACACCAGAACTACTGAAGTAAAACCTTTGTTTTTCTGGGACAATTGATGCTGGTTAGCTTGAGATGAGAAATCACTGGTGATTAAGAAAAGATCAGCATCAATGAGATAAAATATTCTGGGATGTCTTTCCTTAGAATCGGTCCATGCAAGCTGTGTTCAGAGGTGGATAAGGTTGTACCTTTTCTGGTAACTGAACTTGATAGTGTAAGAGTCACCTTGTGGTACTGGTTTTAAAGACATGAAGGGGTCATAGAAATCAGCTGAGGCTTGGTGCTGTGTGGCAGGGCTGGAGTCCCCAAAGAGAGCTTAGGAGAGGCTATTGGTGAAAGTGCAAATTTTGGCCCCAGCAAGAGACTCCAATATTTTGGCAATGCCAGTGTCATGGGATGGCCAGCAAGAATAGCAGCAGGTGTGGAGTGGAGCCAGCTGAATGTACTATTTAGTACACAATACCACATTTTCACTATCTGTTTGTTGGCTTAAGAGCATTTAGCTTGATTCCGTTTCCTACCTATTCTGACTAGAGCAGCAATGAACATGGCTGAGCAAGTATCCATGGAGAAGGATGTTGAGTTCTTAGGGCATATGCCAAAGGCTGGCATAGTTGGGTCACAGGGTCAACTTATTTTTAGCTTTTTGAGAATTCTCCACACTGATTTCAGTATGCAGAATGCAGTCCCACCAACAGTGCGTGAGAATTCCCTTTTCCCCACACCATCTCCAGCACCTGATCTTTGCCATTCCGACTGGGGTAGGATGAAATCTCAGAGTTGTCTTTGTACTGCCCTAATTTCTAGGATGGATGATCATTTAATACCAATGATATTTTATACCATTATTTTGTTTGTTTTGAGAATTGTTTGTTCAGGTCCCAGGCCCAGTTTTTCAGTGGGTCACTATTTTGATTCTGTCCTTTTTTTAGTTCTTTATATCTTCTGGATATTAATCCTCTATCAGATGCATAGCTGTCAAAGATTCTTCCCCATTCTGTGGGCTTCCTCTTCATTTGGTTAATTATTTTTTTTTCAGCTGTGCAGTTTTAGTTTTGTAGTCTCACTTGTTAATTGTTGGCCTTATTTTTGGGGCAAATAGAGTCCTATTTAGAAAGTTTTTCCCTACACCTCTATCATGTTGGATATTAACTATGTTTTTTTTTTTCCTAGCAGTGTTTCAGTTTTTATGATTTAATGGTGTTTGATAATTTTTAAGTTCGTTTTTGTGCAAGGTGGTAAACATTGGGGTGATTTCAGAAGCATGTGGACATTCAGTTTTCCCATCCCCATTTGCTGAAGATGCGTTATTTTACCTTGCTTATGTTTGTGGCATTTTCCTCAAATATGAAGTGGCTGAAGCCTTTTGTACCCATATTTAGGTCTTCAGTTTTGTTTCACTGAGCCACATGTCCAGTACCTCATTGTTTTTATTACTATGTGATATATAGTAAGACCTAGAATGGCAATCCCTTCAGCATTGTTCTTCAGGATTCTTTTGATTATCCAGAGTCTTTAGTGGTTTCATATGAATTTTAATATAGTTTTTCTTTTCAATTTCTGCAAAGAACAGGATGGGATCTTGACTGTGATTGCATTGAATCTTTGATTAGCATTTGGTAGATGGTCATTTTTCATAGTATTGGTTCTACCAATCCATGAACATGGGATACCTTTTCATTTCGTAGTGCCTTCTCTATGTTTTTTCCTTCAGAGGTTTAAAGTTTTCCCACATCCTTGGTTAGGCTTATTCCTAGATACTGTTTTCTTTGAGGCTGTTGTGAATGGGAGTATGTACATGATCTGTTTCTCTGTATGTTTATCATTGGTGTATAGAAAAACTATTGATTTTTACAGGCTGATTTTGTAACTTTCAACATTGCCGAGTTTTTAAAACTTCCTATTGGTTCTTTGTGAATTTCACGTCATGCACCTTAATCCCACTCATCTACCCCTCTACTGGTGTCTGCCCTCCACTCTTGCAACCATCCCCCAACAGAGAAAAAAAAAACTCACTGGGGAAGCTCTAGTGTGTCACATTGTGTATATCCTTTCATCCACACTTCTTTGCATGCAAATGTTCATTGCAATGACTCATTGGTCTGCTATGAGGCCTCTGGCTTTTGCTACTTTTGGCATTCCTCTCAGATATCTTATTGTTGCCCTGTGTCATGAAGATCCTATAGTTTTATATCTGTAGGAACCACCTCTTCATGCACTTCAGCAGTTCATTGGCAGGGTAGATGTTGGGGTAGGTCAATTCAAAGCCCTGGATCTAGGCCTGAGAGGTATCTGAGCTGGTGATTCCACCAGCTCTCCTGTTCTCATGTCCTCGGGCGGCCAGCTCACCTGCATCCCTTGCAACCAGGGCTTCCCAGGTGAGGTTTAGGGTCTGCTCTCCTGAATGTTGCAGCTGGGGAAGGACATGGGCAGTTTTCCTACTTTCATGATCTCAGGGCAAGCTTTCCTGCCTGCCATGGATGGCTAGGAATGAGGGAGGGAAGGATGGCTGGCTCTCCTACACTAACTTCTGGCTTCCACAGTCACACCCTGTAGGTAGCTGGCCTGCAAACTCCCCCTTCAACTCGGGCCATCAGAGTCAGCTCTACCATACTACTGAGGTGATGGGCAGGCCCTGCTTTCCCAAGTGCTGCAGCAGGTGAGAGGCAGGGCCAGCTTTCTGGCTCTGATGACCATGGGGCCAGCTCTCTTGATTGCTGTAGGTGGCAAGGGATGAGGGGGCCAGCTCTCCCATACTCATGCTCTGGGGGCTGCTTACTGGTGATTCTCTCTACCCCACCCCCACCACCAGGGACAGTTCTACTGTTCTGCCCTGGTAAGGTGCAGGGCCATCTTTTCTGCTTTCATGACCCAAGGGCTAGGTCTCTTCCCTGCTGCAGGTGGTGAGGGGCAACCGTGGAGGAGGGTATTTCTCACTTGTCCACCCCACCTCATAGGAGATGACTGGTAGGGCCAGTTCTCCAACATTCATATCCTCAGGGGCCAGCTAACTTGCAACTCCCACAGTGTACGGGTCTGCTCTCCCAAGTACATCAACTGGCTAGGGGCTGGGTCAGCTCTCCTGCTTTCCTGACCCCCAGGACCAGCTCTTCCATGTCCAGGTAAGGGTCAGACATCAACATGTTTCCATGTGGCAACCTAGACCAGAGAAGTTTGCCTGGCCTCTGGTGGTAACAGACCCCTGTTATTGTAGGATCACAGAACCAGATGTGACCCCTGGTGGCAACACAGGCCAGGACCCCGCCATGGTCCCAGGTGGCATCACTGTTACTCACATCAGGTCAGGCTGTTCCTCACTACCCTTAAGTCTCTAGTTCTGCCTCTCTTCATCGTGCCCACATTCTTCTGTTTCTCTTTCTCTTCTATTTCTGTACCACTTACTTGCTCTTCTTGTGGCACGTAGGGTCTCTGAGTGTCTGGGGTCATCTTTAGAGTGGTTTCAGGAATGCTGTAACCTGTTTGTGCTTTATGGTGCTGGGCAGGCATGGTCTGGCCCATTAGGTCTTCATGGTGCCTGATTGGTGATTATTTCAAGCTATCTAGACCCCCTGGTACTGGTTTGGTGGTTGTGTTGGCTTGCTCTGTCTGGCCTTTCAAGTGGTCCCATGCAAGAGTCATCTGTCATGGACTCATCCCTTCGCAGGACACTCAGTCCCAGGCGGGGTGCTTTTAGTTTCAGGATTTCTGCAGGTCCTGGGAGCTGTTGGTACCTGAAGGCATAGGACTGGTGGTCACCTCAGGCTCATTATTTTTTTTTTCAGGGACTTTAGGCTAGTAATCATTCAGATATTCATTGGTCAGAACACTGAGCATAGACACAGCCCCTCTCCTCTCTGCCACCTACTGATACACATGCGACACAGCAGCCAACCTTCAAGGCCTCCAGCAGCAGCACATTGCTGAATCTACTCATCAGGTCTAGAAATTTCCTGGTAGAATTTATGGGACCTCTAATGTACAGTATAATGCCATCTGCAGATGAATTTCTGTCCCAGCTACTACTTGGAGCACATCATTGAAAAGGGGTGGCCTGGTGGACATCCCTGTCTCATTCCTGACTTCAGTGATGTTGTTTCAAGCTTTTCTCCATTGAGGATGGTGTTGGCTGTGGAGTTTTCATGTGTAGATTTTATTATGTTGAGGTATGTTCTCTACATTCTCTATAAGTTTTATCACTAAGGTGTGTTAGGTTTTGTCCAAGACTTTTTCTGTGTCTCTTGAGATGATTGTGTGTGTGTGTTTGTCTTTAAGTCCATTTATGTTCTTTTATTACCTTTTTGGTTTGCATATGTTGAACCATCCCTACATTTCAGAGATAAATCCAACTTGGTCACAGTGGATAATCTTTTTCATGTATGTCTGTATTTTATTTGAATGTTTTTTATTGAGTATTTTTGGCTAGTTTCATCAGGGATATTGACCTGTTGTTTCCTTCCTTCCTTCCTTCCTTCCTTCCTTCCTTCCTTCCTTCCTTCCTTCCTTCCTTCCTTCCTTCCT